TCCCGCATCCCATGGAATCCAGCAGGTAGATGTGGCCGTCGGGCTCCCAGCAGTATGCCACCCAATGCCGGTTCTGCCAGTTCTGGATGAAGGAGCTGGCGCCATGGGCTTGCTCTAGGTTCTGGACCGGGTTGTCCATGTCCAGGGCCAACCCTTGTGCAAACAAGGCGGCGTAAAGGACTTGCACTGAATACCAGCCGCCCGGGCTGGAATTTGCACCAGCAGTTCGGCACTAAACGAGGAGGTGCTCAGGTGATCCCAATCTCTTTGTGTTTGTTTTGGAACAAGTGCTCATTTCATGAAAATGCACGAACACGCCGACTCATGCCCTAGAAAAAACAAGATGGAGAACCCACGAACCCGAATGCAAACACGTACTCGAAAACAAACAACCACACAATTTTTGACACTCTTGTAGGAGACACTCTTGTGGTAAACTCTTGTAAGACGCATTCTTTGCGGAAACCTTTGTATGACACTCTTGTGGGACACCTTGCATGACACTCACTTTGGGGCATTTTTGCGGAACACTCTTGTAAGACACTCTTGTGGGACACTCTTGTAGGACACTCTTGTGGCCCTCCTGCGGGTCACTCTTGTGTGACACTCTTCTTGTAACACATTCTTGTGGGTCACTCTTTTGGGACACTCTTGTATGGCATTCTTGTGGGACACTCTTGCGAAACACCCTTGTAGGACACACTTGTGCGACATCCTTGTAGGACACTCTTGTGTGACACCCTTGTAGGACACTCTTGTCGGACACTCTTGTGGGACACTCTTGTGGCGTACTCTTGTAGGACACTCTTGTCGGACACCCTTGTGGGACACCCTTGCAGGACACTGTTGTGGGGCACTACTACTAAAGTCTTCAATTGTAAACCGTCACGTTTTCAAAACGAGTTCGAACGAGACCTCCTCCAAAAGTCACATGTCAAGTCTGCAAAAGGAGCATTTCATACGAGACTTCTTCCAAAACAAAACAAGCGCTTCGCACGAGACTTCCTCAAAAACTCACACTTAAAGTCTGCAAAACGAGCGTTTCGGACGAGACAATTTCAAAAGTCGCGCGTCAAGTCTCCAAAAAGAGCGTTTCGCACAAAACTTCCTCCACAAAAGTCGAGCGGAAAGCCCCATGGGAGCACACACATCAAGCAGCCCTGCCAAGCAGTTTTGCGATTCCAGCTCCTCCAAACAACACCCGCTCACGCGCCAATCCCAATGTCACCGCGACATTCACGAAACTTTGCGCGTCCACTGGCGTCCACACCTCCAAAGTACTGCGCCTGCCACGAAATGTGACCTCCTCCACACCTCACAACCACACGATTCCCTGCGCCTGCCACGAAAAGTGACAATATCATATCATGTTAGCTTCAGCAAGATTTGCACCACATCACACGTTTGGAATGACTTCGACAGGTTCTGAGCACACTCCCATCCACCAGAATCAGCTTGTCACGAAAACACAGCTTCGAAGCAACAGCCTGAAACGCAAATCCCAATGTCACAGCCACATCCAACAGACCAAAAACACCACCCTCCACACGCCAATGCAAATGTGACTGCGCAGAAAACTCACCATCTCACAAAACGCTGCCCCTGCGCAGTGATTTCATCCTCCACACTCCCTCACGTTTCCACACGTTTCCTCGCTATTTCACACGAATCTGACACGTCATGCTTCCATCCAAACCCTCTCCAAAGCTTCCCCCAATGTCAGCGCCATAGCGCTCCACCTGTGGTGCAAGAATCGGTGACCTCTTCACTGGAGCAATCCAACATTTTTTGTGGAGGCACACCCATTGGACCCATGTTCACGCCATTCACCGATTCGCTCCTCAGTTCGCGTTCTGCCTCCCTCCACCCCCTCCTGGTGACCTGCACCTGTCCCCGCTGCGGGAGGCTGAAATGGCCACAAAGACCCCCCATCCCGCCGCCCATCCTCCAGCCTCGACCGGTCCGGTGCGCCCTAAGGCTCCGGACGTCACCGGTCTGGAGGCGCTCCTCTCGGTCCTCTTGGCCGATGTCTTTGAACCTGGAGGGACGATCTGGCTGGGCTGGGTGACCACGGCGGGACACGCTCCGCAGCTGTTTTGGGGACGTAGAGATGACATGAGTCTGACAACTGGGTGCGGGATGCGAAGGGATGCGAAGGGGAAGTGGCCACAAGGCCACCTATCCAACCAATGCAACCATCCATTGCACACCTCGAACCCAGGGTTCCGAGGGAAGGAAGCAAGAAATACGGGTGTCGTGACAGTTAAGGAAAGGTCAAGTTGCACAGAAACCTTCTCTCATAGTAGATACTTTCCTGAACATCCCACAAAAATGGTTTTTCTTGCCACAGAAGTTCGTCGCCACCCCCGAAAAGAATCACATGAAGCCCCACACGCTACACCCGAAACACCCGAACACCCCCAAGCGGGTCTTCTGAGCGATGCGAACGCCGTCCTGCTGTAGTCCAAGCGATCGGGCCGTTCCTGGCGTGTGCCGGTCGCGGGAATCCCCAAAACTATGCCATGGCACTGGAATTGTAATACCACCACGGAGTTTTGGGGTGGTGATTGGATGGAACATCTCTCATGATTTTCCGGGGTGGCGTCCATGGTCACCACCCGGTCCCTCCGTGGTGCCACGTGGCCGGCCATGTGTCGGTCGGTCTGTGTCGGTCACGTCGGAGCCACCGGAGGAGGTCTTCCAGACTGCTCGAGGACTCGAGTGGCAGGGCACAGGCGTGCAAAATCCTGACCAACCATGATCCGCCAGCCGCTGGCACCAAGGCATTTCTCGAAACAGTGTGATTGAGTTCCACAGGTCAAGAAGAATGTCTAAATACCTGCCCTGAGCCCTTGCTTTCCTGAAAGCCTTTCCAAACAGAAACCAAAAAGGCACCAAAGGCGGTGCTGAGTCGAAAAGGGATCAAACATGTTCGAAGACTATTTAAGGATATTTAAGGACACACTTCAAAACTGGTGAGGTTCTCTTAGATTTGCCCAGGAACTCAACTCAACTCCTTTCGTTTGGGGTGTTGAACGAATCTTTTTGTGTAGTTGCATTATAGATCCAACACTTAGAACTCAGGCGGCGGAACCTTCGCAACCAGGAGTGCTGAACAACGCCAAGTTCCGTCGCGAACACCGTCCTGATTCTGAGGCTGAAGCACCTGCCAGCGGTGCATGCCGATGGTGTGAAACACATCACCGGTGTTGTATGTATTACTGTTCAATAATCAGGTGCACTCCCATCAACAAACATATATCATTGGTTCTTGGAAGACTGAACACATTGTTCCAAACAACAGGGATTGTTCGTCTCTTCTCCAACACCTTTATATTTGGCGTTCGCCTGTGGTCCCCTGAGTCTGTTTGGACCCACCGATCAAGAGTCTTTGAACGGATCTCTGGAACCCTGAGACCGGTTTCGGCGTCCCTGCGCGGCTCCTCCTTTTTCCATCAAAGCATCGGAAACCGCCGGCGTCTCGGCGACGTCTCGGCGAATTTGTTTGCGGGGACGGCAGGGTCTCTTTCATCAGGACGTCTGGTACAGGTCTGACATTCCCTTGATTCTCCGTGTTCCTTCCGGGGGATTGTCGAACATGGCAACTGTCACGTGTTTATCGGATAGGCTTTCTGACTTCCCAGCGCTCCCATTGGACATGGTCAGGAGTCAGGTGGTTAGACATACCCATACCCATGAAGCATTAAGTCATATTAAGTCACTTATTCCATTGCTGTGGGCTGAAGAGCTGTTTCGGCAAAAGAAATCATGCTTTCAGGCTCCGCAAAATCTCAAAAACCTGGGGCAAATGGAGTCACTAGTGGACTCACCAGTCACTGGAGACATGATTTTCTCAAGATTCCTCAACCAGTTGGAAGTCCCAAAAAAACGTCCACTGACAGTTGCACACTATACCCTTTAGTCCGATACCCTTCCTCCGTCCTCCAGCAAGTGAGTTGGGTTTTAATTTGGATGTTCGCCTTCATTGTGGCTCAAGCTGCTAGTGAAAGACAACAAGGAAGGACAAACAGTGTGTTTCAGAGCATAAAATAAGAATGGCCAGACAGGTTTGCCTGTTGATTTTAATTTTCACCACTTTGGTTTATTGGATGTCTCCTCATTCTGGGACAGACCGATATGTTTCGTTACAGTTGCAGAAACCTGTCACCCTGGGAACTCATTCTGAGATCCAGTCTAGCATGCCAATGTCTTCCGCTTTGGTAGGATACCCACAACATCGCATGTGGTTCTTTAACTCAGTACTGACAGTTGTAGGCACACACAGTCTGTTTGTGTAATTCACAGGTGAGCTCCATCACTTGGGCGAACGTCGAACGCAGGGCGAAAAAGAATGCTGCAGGTGCGGATCAGCCCGAAACAACATTCCGAAAATCCCTGTGGCAAAACAGCTATGGCTTTGGCACAACCTGCCAAGACACGGCAGAAAAGGGATGGAAAAGGCATGGTATGATGGAGTGGATCCAGGCCACTCTGGAAAAGCCCTGCGATGCAGAGCACAATCGGTCTCAAAGATTCTAAAAGGCGCATCTCTCCCGAAGGTGTTACCTGGGCTGTGTTGCGATTCCCAAGTGCCGGGCTTTGGGAAATGAAGAAAAGCAGTCTTGGGGCTTTGGGATTTGAGTCAAGAGTTCTGCGAGGAGATTGTTCCCAAAAGGAGATCCAATTACCTGTTGAACCATAAAACGGAGAAGGCCATCCTGGGGCAAACAGAAACGACATTCCAAACACCTCTAGATATGTTTCCGGATACGCTAGATAGCTCTACTCCAGGATGTAGAGAACATGTGTATTTTATTCCAAGTCGCATCAGATTTGCTGTGTGACCACCATTGTGGCAAGCCTTCGAGCGGAAACAAACTGCACCTCAGCCTTCAAGAGATCAATCACCTAGGCGCAAAGGCAACCAAGACGAAGAATGTGTTTTCTGTTTTACGGCTGCTGGAGTCGGGAGTTAGATGGTTGCGGCACTCAGAGGCAAACAATGATGTGGATCAAACGTGAAGAAGGGCAGCTGGGTAGGATTGAGCTATTTGCTTGCAAACTCTTTTACTGTAGGTGTTAGCTAAACAAAAAAACACATGAGAAAACCACCATTGGATTGTTCGGATTTCGTAAATACGTGGTGATTTGAACGTCCCCAAGGCTCGATACTTGGAAGCGAGCGGTGCATCGGAATGGACAGCAGGACAAAAACAGGACGTCTGCTTTCTCAGACGTCCCAGCACCATCAAGTCTTGGGAGTCAATCCCGTGTTAGATAGAATCTGGGAAAATCCCACACCTATGCGGAAAAAAAAACAGATCATGTTTTGGGATAAGGCTTCATCTTCTCTCTAAATCGTCGTTTTTGAGCAGAAAACCAGGCCCGGCCCCGCGGCCCCCCGGAACCGCCTGAGCGTGGGAACCGCACACGTCCGCCTCGCGCGCCAGATCCAAGGCGGTGCGGCCGCCTTGTGTTCCAGCAAGCCGGGAGCGGTGGGACACTCAGGTCTGAGTCAGTTTCTACACGGTTTCTATATATATATATATCAACCCTGTTTGGTTACACAAACATCCAATCATCATCTCAACCTGAGAGTTTTGCCTAGGAAAAACTCGCCGTGGCAGGTAGAAAAAGCATGATGTTCCGGACCAGGTAAGCTTTGGCATGCTTGTTGCAATGCTTGTTGCAGTGCTGCAGCATGTTTGTCTACTGGAGGGTAGATCTTTTCAGTTTTGTGTCCCTATCAGAAGGAATGACCTTTGTATATATGCCTATATGTCGTATGTGGGAGAGGAGGCGCTTTCACACCCAGGTGCCTAAGTCTTGAGGTGGCGGCCCCCAGTCCCAGTGCAGCACGGTCGAAACACGCCATGCTGCAGAAGCTGGAACGCTTGAACTGTCAATCTCGCCCAGGAGTCCCTAGTAGCGTCCTTGCTCCTAGTAGCGATGCCAGGGGCCCCTAGTAGCGTCCTTGCTCCTAGAAGGGATGCCAGGAGCCCCTAGTAGCGTTCTTGTTCCTAGTAGTATGGCCAGGAGAGGATCAACTAGGCTCCGCGTGAAGCCCACAGAAAAGCGGGGTTGGCTTTGAGTACCAGGACAATCCTGTCTGGGTGTCCTGGCTGGACTACCCCACGCTACCTATAGGCTTCCATTGGGCACCCCGTAAGGATGGTCCAGGTATGAGTTCCATGATTTTTTTTCAAACATCCTGAGTCTTTTAAGTCATGATGCCTCAGAGAAAAGATAATGAAACGACATGTTTTCTCGGTCGCATCAAAGGAACCTGGCCGGAACCGCCCAATGCACGTGGCGTGCCGTCCACACAGGTCCCACCGTCCACTGCGAGCCGTGCTTCGAGAGCTCCGCGCATGGAGATCTGCGCCCGCCCGCAGGAGCACGCGGAGTACAGACAGGTCTCCAGTCTTGGCCTCCGAAAAAAATTCCACGGAGATCACACATAAGAAATCCAGTGAAATGATAATCCAGGATAATGCTCTTATAAGCCACCAGGATTATATTATTCTATTCCAGAGAATTTCATAATTAGAATACAATCCTCTAGTGAATAGAAAAATACTTTTCTCTATAAATAAAAGCCATGAGGATACTCTGAAGGGGATACAATATATGTGTGTTGATATGGGTCAACCCCCTTGTGATGACATTGGTTGCTTGACCCAAGACTAGTCGCGAAGCAACATGAAGTCATGAAGTCGCCCTGGATAGCTATGGTCACAGGCGATCTCGATTGGCTTGAGGTCTTTTGAGAAAGACGTCATCGCTGCCAACAAAAATTGTGCAATTCTATCCTTTCGGGCTCACAAAGTGACACCTCATTCTTGGGTGTTCTTGGTGCATGGTCATGCTGATCATCCTGATCACATACAGAGCACAACTCATCTTGATCACGAAAGCAGCGAAGAAGGCAGGCATCTCTGGCAGGTTGCTTTCTTGGGCACTTGAAAGTGGATAAATAACGTTGAATAACGTTGAATTTTGGAAAGGGATATATATAGAGAGCAAACGATCATCGCAGGCTATATCCATGTATCTTTGGCCCCTTCAGATGAATCCAAGATCAGTAGTCTTGCAAAATCTTGCAAACATGACTCAAAGGAAAACATGTTTGAATCTCGCACAGTTCCTTTTCGCAGCAGCGAATCAGCTCAAGGGCCCTGTTCAGCCGAAACAGCAGCGACGGTGCAGCAACTGTACGCAATACACCCTGGCTACAACAGCTGAAATTCACACCCGTCTTATCTACAGGTGTGTTGCGGGCTTTACAGTTCAAGTTGTACAAAGGCAGCCAAGCAACTCTATTCCCCGTGGGGCCGTAAACCATGCCATTCCATGTCGAATTCTCAAAACAAGTCAGGTGAGACTTCTTCACCTTTCTTCTTGGCTCCCTTCTCGCATGCGCCACTGTTCTCGACATTCACAAGGCCACTTTCCAGTGTCTTGAGGAGGTAGTCCGGCTTCATGCTCTTGGTTAGCGGGTCTGCCAATTGCTTCGATGTCTCAATCCACCTCAGGTGGTCACCATAGGGACTGTAGATCTCTGATGTTTTCTCGCCACTCACAGTCCATACTCCTTGCCTCAATGCAGCAAGTTCTATGCCAAGCCTTTTGTCTTGTACTTTTCTTGGAACTTCTGCCAGTAAATGGTCCGATAAGCTCCTGCAATCCGTGTAGTACACGTGTGCCATTCGCCTCTGGGTTTCTTCATGCCAGTTCTTGAAGTCATCAAGTCGTCCAGTCAACTCACAAATCAGGCATCGTAGGCGGTCTCCATGTTCGACTGCAGTTTGCAGAGCATATGCTTCTGCTTGCAATGTAGCACGACACACCCTTTTGAGGGTAGTTGAACCAAAGCTGATCAGATGCATTCTGTGACTGCCTTCCTTGAGGCTGCTCGCATTCGTTATGTAGTGAATGCGGCCTTGCTGACTCTTGAAGCCTTCTTCGTTTGCGAAACTTGCGTCGCTAAATGTCACAACTGCTAGATCGCTCCAGTCAATCCAATCACTCTTGAAGGTGATCTGCAGGTCACTTCCTTGAAGTGCCAATTCAACAACCTTGTTGGCATTCTTCAAGTCTTGCACTGTTGCCTTTGCGCTACATGCACGCTGCATCTCATTCACACGGTAACAAAGATCTGGTCTTCCATAACGGGCAACCCAAGCCAAACTACCAACAACGCTCCTGAGGCTTGTCAACTCCTTCTCTGTCACCTTTTCCGACAGCTTCCGGTGCTTGTCGATTTCGATCGGCTTCACTGTTCTGCAGTTTTCACTTGTAGAAATGCTTACGGAGTAGTCCTCATGCTGTACGAACTGACGTCCGCAGTATCGGAACCTTCCCGATTCTGTCTTGCCAATCGTGAACCTTTTGAGGATACCTTCAATTGTCTTCTTGCCTTCGTCAAGGTAGCAATACAACAAGTCGTCGACATGTGTCGCGACCATGCCTATCAACTTTCCCTTGGAATTGTGCAAATAGTACAATGCAGGTGTAATGCGACTGCACTTCAACCCGGCACTGGTGATCTCACCATTCATCCTCAAGTAAAAACCTCTGCCGGCGTCGATCGTGCCATAGATCGGGAGGCGTGCAACCAACATTGCATCCGGTGGAACATCCGGGCTTGGAATTCCACCACGTGGCTGTTTGAGCAACAGCAACCTCGTCATAGGCTGACTTTGAAAATACGCTGAGGAAACATCTGCCGCATACAGGGTCACACGATGGCTTGATGCGAAGCTTGCAATCAACATGTGTCCTTCAGTCTCAGCAGTGGGGCTATCGCAACGAATACCCTGTGAATCACGGCTCACTTGTTCGTGATTTCCACAAGCTACTAACCGAGATCTGTTTTCTGGCCGATGCTCAGGCGTACCTGTCAGATGAGCTTGCTTATCCACATCTACCCATTGCATAGGAATAGGAACATGCCCTTCTTGAAGCAACTCTTCCAATTCCTTGCCTCGAATAGGCATTGCAGCATTGAAGCTCCTGTATTTGCTCCACTCTGCACGGCGTGCATCCAAGATGCGAGCTTGCATCTCGGGAGTGCATCGGTCGTATTGTAGCGTCTTTGCCACCTTGCCAACCTGCGTCTCACTGTTTTCTCCAAAGCGTTGAGCCACGAAGGCTCGAAATTCTGCATCATCCAGTTCAGCGTCGTCAGCAGCGGCCATGGCGATCAACGGGTGTTTTACCCGTGTAAAGATTGTGAAACCTGTCCATGCGCGAGAATCAACATCATCCATGCCCGGCATGGACTCGCTGGTCATTCGACTTCCGTCTTCATAGACTTTTCTGGTTACGCGTCTTCCTCCGAATCCTTCCGGAACATCTCCGTCATGCAGCGGATGGAAGTCATGGAATCTCCTCTTGTTGTGAACACGAATTGCATGGTTCTCAGAGATTCTCCAATGGTCTTCATTGTCAACCAATGCAAGCATGACCTCATCATCACCACCAATGCCTCCGGGGGTCATCGGAACTGCGACTGCGCTTCCACTCGCGCTTGCTGATGATCGGGCAGCCTTGCCCGTCTTATCTTCTGCTTGTGCTTCTCTCTTCTGTCCCTTCTTAGGGCTTGCTTCTTCATCCATCATTCGGACGTACTTCTGCTGTCCCAATGTCACTGCCTCTGGGAAGACTGGGATGTTGTTCAAAATAGAGTAGGCCAAAGATTCACTCTCATTGGCTGATCTAAGTTTTCCGGCAGCACACAAAATAGGAATACCTTCATGTAGCAACCAGATGCCATTATGCGGGTCAATACCAATCACACGCGAAGCAGTGGACCACACGGTTCCACCTTGCTGGGTGTCTCGACGGTAGACCACAAGGTCTCCAACCACAAATGACTTCTTGTTCTGGACTGCAGCATTCCTGGTCAATGCTCTTGCAACACGGGAGCTTGTATCCAAATGAATAAATGCCTTTTGTGCAGCCATACGGGATGCATGACACAAATGATAGCTTGCTGCAGGGTCAAGCTTGTTCTCCAAGATGCCCAAGTTTCCTGCCTCATCCATATCTGTCACAGATCCTGGAATTCTTGGGTTTCTACCCAGGACCCATTGCGCTGGAGAATAGCCTTGGACTCTTTGCATGTGGTTCTTCACGGAAGTGCATTCGTGCAAACATGTTTCAAACGCATTACGACCAACGGCTTCCATGTCGTGGATGGTCTTCCTGAGGATTGCCTTCAAGATACCTTGGTGCCTTTCAACCTTGCCAATGGCTGATGGGGTTTCCAATGGTGCATAGAAGATCTCAACACCGTGCGAAGCGAACAGCTTGGATACCTCACCTCTTGTGGACACCTCTATCCATGATTGCGGCCTTTGGAAAACCTGCCCAACTGATCCATCTGCGAAGGATAGCTTGTGCACAGGCTTCTGACGTTGGCATACCTCCACCTTCTTTGACAACCTCTGACAAATGGAATCCTGTCGAAATGTCCAGCATCGTGAGAATGCTGTACTTGTTCCCTGCATAGTCCTTCATTTCTGTGACGTCAAGGCCAAGCATGGCATTGAACTCATACTGGAAATTACTATTTCCTACCGGATGATCACGGGGACGTGGTGCAGTGTCTTCGCAGGACTGACAACGGACAAGACGTGCAGCTTCGATCAACTCCTTGCTTGCCTTACCTGCCTTTAAAATATTCTTCAAAGTTGACGGTGCGGGATGTCCGAACTGCCGATGCAAGCGACGAATTGCAATGCGAGTTCTCTGGGGAAGAGCACGCCACAATCGTCTCCGTTTCTGTTCCGTCATGTCGGCTCCGGGCAATGCAAGTTGATCTAGCATGAGTTCTTCCTGTTCTCTTGCCGTCAATGGTTTTCCATCATCATGTTTGGTTTCCTGGAACACTCCCTCAATGTCACTGTCCTCGATTTCAGAAATGTCTTCAAGTTCGTCTGCGACAAAACATGTCCGTGCAAAATGCTCCAAATAAGTTTCTTCTGACATGGTGTTCAACATCTCTAGGAGTCTTGCCGATTTTGCGTCTTCGAAACATTTTGGGATCATGTTCTCTCCGCACCAACCTTCCAGCGCCTCCAAGATCTTGGGGCTTTGTGGGCCTGCCAAGGCAAATTCTAGGTCACCACCGAGGCAAATGGAATGTTCAACAGATATCTCGAGAAGTGGTGTGAAAAGAAGGAGGTTGCAACCATACATGTCGACTTCCATGAGCATATCACTCCAAATCCTCCTGGGGTCCGTGTTCTCCAAAAACAGTACAACCAAACCAGGGATCTTATTTGAAATGTGCTTGATGACCTCCTTGCGGGTCTTCACCCAGTTTGCACCTACATCGAATACCCTTGCACTCTGGGGTGCATTGATCAACATGTCATCCTTGACAATGACCATGTGTTGCACACTCAACGGGTTGTTCGAAACT